GGATAGTCAAGGCTACACAGAAAAAAAAAAAAAAAAAAAACCCTGTCTCAAAAAACGAAATGATGATGATGATGATAATTTCATGGTTGAGGGTCACCACAACATGAGGGGGTCACTACAACATGAGGAACTGTATTAAAGGGTCTTAGCATTAGGAAGGCTGAGAGCCACTGTTTTACAAGGCTTTGAAATTACCAATCTGATTTTTGGGCCTTTGTTTCTACGTTCTTTAAGCTGTTCTTTATCTATAAAATCAACCTCATTTGCTAGGACATTAGAAGTCTTATTCTTTTTTTATAATTAAAAAAAAATGTGTGTGTGTGTGTGTGTATTGCGTGTTAGTATATACATGTTCATGAAGGTTCCAGGAGGCTGGAAAGGGGTGTTAGATCCCCTGGAGCTGGAGTTATAGATGGTTGTGAACCACTAAAAACAATGCGGATGCTGGGAAGTGAACTCTAGTTCTCTCCAAGAGCAGCCAGCGCTCTTAACTGCCGGGCCATTTCTCTACTCCCTAGAGACTTATTCTGAGTCATTGAAAGAATGGTTTCTTGATTATAGAAGAAAAATCAAGCTCAAGTGGGCTCTTTGGGTGGGTACAAAGGTGTGCACCAGCAGGTGTTTAGGAGGCCTGAGGCGGGAGAATTGCCTGGACCAGCCTGGAGATGTCTCACACTAACAAACAAAAAGTCTTCTAGCTAAATCATTTTGATGTTTGCCCTTTGACAGCCAGGAGAGATGGGACTACATGACAGAGGGCAAGCGGGGGAGGCACCAACACCTACATCTACATCCCCTCCCTTGGACCTCACTAGATGGATTAGAACACAGGAGCATTTGGGCCACATTTACCATAGCCATGGAACAGGGGCAGGCTGAGGGCAAGGTGAGGGCAGTTCACTGTGACTCTCTCTGTGTTCTTTTTCACTCTTTTCCTGGAGACCCAGCTGTTTGTTCTCCAGATGATCAAAAGAGACAAATCGTAAGAGCCAGGCATGTCAAAACCGAGTTTAAACACTTCAAAATCTCCTTTCCTATCCCCTGCCCCTCCTGAGCCTCCTTCAATGTGCATGCTCTGGAGACCAGGGAGAAAGGCTTTTCATCAAATTAAAACGTAAAATGCCTTCTTTTCTTATTGCCTGGTGACCAGGAATATTCTGCTGAGTCAGCAGTGAATAATCAGCTTTGACCTAAATAATAGAATAACTCACAGCGCTGTGGTTGCACAAGCAGGTCCAAATCTGCAGTTCCTTCTTTTCCCCTTGTCCTCTCACCCACCCCCTCCAGGCTCTGGGCAGGCAAGCCAGTTACATCAGGTTCTTTCTGCCTCTCCACCCCCATCTGGCCTGTCCCAACTTCATTTCTCTTCAGATAGCTTCCAGAAATGGTCCCACCACAGAACTAGGCCTGACCTCTTCCCCTCCCTCCCCCAGCAAACAGGGGCCTTGGGCTTGGCACACCCACTCTCCTTCCTGGACCCTGCATTATAGACCAGTGACTGCTCCACAGAAGGTGGCCTTTCTTTCAAGCCTCTCGTGACTCAGTAGCTCCAGTCAGTCATCGGGCAAATGAGACAGTGGAAAGCGGAGTTTCCTGTATAAGTGTCATCCCAGCCCCACCCCCGCCCCCCTGCATACCCAGGCTCTCTGCCACTTCTCCCAAAAGCATGTTGAAAATGGGTGACTCTCTGCCTCCATCTCCAAAGTACCATTTGACACAGCTGGCTTCCCTGTCCCCTGCTAAGAGGACGGGGTATACTGGATGATGGTGGGAGTGGTGAGAAGGGGTACTGAAATAAAAGTCGTCATGATAGCAGGGTGTTGGTAGCACCCTGACCTAAGGTGAACTCAGCCTTCAGGGACCCAAGGCAGGGACCCATTCAAAAGCTAGACTATATGAACTTAATTCAAGGGTGGCTTGGGCTACATGGGAGATCTCTGTCACAAGGCAGGGGGGTGGGGTTGATCGGATGTGATGAGTTGTGCCTGTGACCTCAGCATGTAGAGCCTAAGACAAGAGGAAAGCTACAAATTCAAGGTTTTGAGGCCAGCCTGGTGAATACAGTGAGTTTCAGGATGGCCGGATCTACGTACTGAATTTCAAGACAGCTAGGGCTACACGGAAAAACCTTGTCTCCAGGAGGATGAGGCAGGAAGATCTCCTGAGTTGGAAGCCAGCCTGGTCTACAGAGTGAGTCCAGGACAGCCAGGGCTACACAGAGCCCTGTCTCAGAAAAACAAAACAAAATAAAACAAAAAGAAAAAAGAAAAACCTTATCTCAAAAGTTCCTCTGCCCCAAAGATGCCAGCGTTGTATAGCACGGCATCCATAGACCTTTTTCAACACAGGCTACCTTAAGGAGCTGTTTGAAGACGGCAATGGAGGTGGATTTAAATAAAGTCCTAGAAGGAGAGGAGGAGCTTGTGAAGGCAGCACCAGAGAGGCTGAGGCACGAAGACTAGGGGCAGCCTGGACTATGTAGCAAATTCAAAGTGAACTTGGGCTATGCAGTAACCCCCCCCCCCCCCCCCGCCGTCTCCATCTCCCAAAACAAAACACCATTCAACAAACCAGAAAACAGAACCTCCGCACAGAGACTCGAAGCACCTGGGACCTGTCCTCCGTTGCCTCTGGTCTCCTAATGGAAGTAGGAGGAATAAATTTGGGTTTAAGATTCCCCTCCACCCCCCACCCCCACTGGAATAATATCTAGAGTCATACCTCAAGGACAGGGAAAAACTATTACTCTCAGAGGACAAGACTGGCTCTGTTCAGATGGGGGCAGTTTCCTTGCAGCTCCACTTAGGAGTCAGAAGACTTTATTAGATCTCTCACAGCAGGAAAGGGAGACAGCAAGAGTCTCCAGTTCTTGACTTGTCTGGGGAGGGTAGGTGTGGGATGTACTGTATGCAGCCTGCCTCCCTGGAGCTGGCTAGGCAAGAGCTCTTCCCACCACTTGAAAGGGCTGGGACCATCTGCGCGCATGCAGGCATGGATGCATGTGTGTGTGTGTGTGTGAGCTCATACACAGACTTCACTACTCCAGAGTCTTTGTGCAAAGTGTCAAAATCCGTGGCAGGTCTGTGGCCCGTATACCCGTATACTCAAACTCCCCCTCAGGAGGTCAGAAAGCTGCGTGCTCCCAACTGCATACTGTGGCCTGGCTCCTCTCCCGGGGAGGGCCCACACGGCTGTGGAGTTCTGGATTTCTAGTAGAGGATCAGAGGAGTCCTTCTGTCTGAGAGTTTAGCAGCATCAGCAGACAGGAGGAAGCTGCCTGCGCACACAAGACACCGAAACAGTAGCAGCCAGCACTCATGCACTTCCTTCTTCCTCCCTTGTTAGCTTGTCTGATCGCAGAAAGGGCAACTTTTCCTACATTCCCACGCTGACCCAGCTGTCGCAATGCAGCCATGAAGCACCTGCGAGTGGCCCATATACCCATACACTCAAACTCCCCCTCAAGAGGACCCCAGGTCAGAAAGCTCCGTGCTCCCAACAGACATACTCTGAGGCACACACAGCATTACAACTTATGATCCCGATCTCATGAGGAGGCAGACAGCAACTCTACCAAGCAATCAGAATGTGTGGCTCAGAGCTGAGGGCATTAGAAGCTTGAATCTGGGGCACACACTCCTTCACCTCTGGGTCTATATAAGCAGGCCAGACTAAATGTGCGACTACTACCCCCAAACAAGGGTTTCACCTTGCCTAACTAAGTGTGGGGTCCACGGCAGGGTCGACCTCCACTGCCAAATAAGGCAATCTTGCTAAGGTCTTTTGCTAAGATCCTCGGAGATCGTCTAGAGTGGTGGGTGGTGGGTCCTCCCTCCCCCATCACACTGGCAAGGCAGAAAGACAATGCCTGGACCTGGAAATGAACAGCCAGGACTGTCCCTACACTGTCAGAAGCTGTAGGAAGACAAGGCCTTGAGTCAACTCTTTAAGCGCAGCCTCTGAACAGCTGCTTGAAGAGTAAGTGTTGGAGTAAAGACATGGAATAGCCCAGTCCACAGGATCACTGTTCTGAGAGCCGACTGCTGGGAATGCCCGGAAGCCGGTGCCTCAGAGAACCGTTCTCTTAAGGATCTGCTGATTCCACCTCACAGGTATCTTCCCATCTTGAGTTTTCCCTGAAGCCAATTAAATCCTAACCATGCCTGCAAGGCTTTTCCTTCATTTAAAGCAAACAGCAAAACCAAACAACCTATCCAAGCCAGACCGGAAAGAAAAGTTAGGCAGACTTCTGGCACTTCCAGGCCGGCCTGGTTTATACATTTGGCTCTCAGAAAGCTAGGACTACATAGAGAAACTCTGTCTTAAAAAACAAACAAACAAAAAACAAAAATTATCCATCCAGGGCATGGGCAAGGAACAAACTCTCCCCCAACACAGTTCAAAATGCGTGTGAGATGGCGATTTCTAAGTTGCCAGCACAACTGCCTGCCACACGGTTGTCAGGGTCTTCCTCAGCTGTAGAAGCAAGTATAGCTGCACTGGAAGACCAAGGACTCGGAAGCCCTGGACTCCACGAAGGCTCTGCCTCTTGGGGAAAAGCCACTTGCCCTCGGCTCCTGGTCTCCTGATCTTTCCTAGGAAAATGACAGCAATGGCCCAGCTTACCTCATGGATTTGTCATAGGCTCAGATCAGAAATCAGATAGCAGAGGTGAAAGTGCTAACATAAAGAACTCTGGCATCGAAAGCCACCGTGTTTCCAAGCAGGTATTTATACTTCTTGTTTGTTTGTGATAGGCTTTGACGGTGTAGCCTAGGCTGGCCTCTAGCTCAGTATATCCTCCTACCTTTGTCTCCCGAGCTCTGGGATTACAGGCACATGCCACCGTGCTTGTCTTTCACCGTGCAACTGTATGGAGAATCCACTCCTCCAAAACATATTCATAGGGAATGGAAAGGAGAGAGAGAAAGAGAACGACAAACCAAGACATGAAGGTCGCCGGGAAGACTGAAAGAGGCCGAGGTCCAGATGTCACTTACACAAGCAGATGGCAGCCAGGAGTCGCAGGCCAGATTCCGGGGGGAAGCAGGTGGGGAAGAGCGGCTGCAGCACGTAGTTGGAGAACGTGAGGGCGATGACAGCTTGGTTGGTAGGGTAGATCACCAGCACGGCAATCCACAGCCGCAGGAACCTGCAGGAAGAACAGGAAAATCATTGCCTGGCGTGGCAGGGAGCCAGAGGCAGCGGCAGAAAAATCCACGTGTGGGGCAGGGATGGGGGTCGGGGGGACTCTTGAGCAAGTGAGCAAGTGAGATAAAGGCGCAATGCCCCCTTTGTTTCCAGAGATACTGAAGAGGCCTGCCCTACCCCAGATGAGACCCTTTGTAATGCTGGTGACACAGTGTGACAGCAGAGACCAACATACACTTCAAATCTTCTCTGCAACTTTAGTCCTCTATATCCCAGGGTGGAAAAACTGAACCTGCAACCCCAGAGTTCTGACCCCAGAACACACCAGGGGTGTGGCTACATAGCAATCGCCAGGGAGGCATCAAAGAGAAATCTGCAGAAGTGCCTTGCACACCTTTTGGTGCTGGATGAGCTTCCCCAGTCAGGGTTAGAGAAGCCGAGAAAAGTCAAGGGCTTGACTCTGGAGGGAGGCCATTACCCTCGGCTATGTAAGGCATGGGGATGTCTCGTCTTTAGGCAGTCACTCGTGTGTAGGGCTCTCCTTTGGTGACTGCTTTCCGCAGAACTCTGTGGTCAGTGATGTCTGTCACCTTGCTTTGCTTACAGAATCTTGTCCATCAAGTTCAGTGTGGAGATAAGGGGATGTAACCTGACTCATCTCCTGAGTCTATGAGTGGTGACACACTGGACACTAGAAACTCTTGTCCTTGGGCTCTTTTGACCTGACTCTTCTGTCCCAGATTTCTCCTTTTTCTCTACCAGTGGCACCAACCTGCAGCCCATGGGCCACGTGTCTCCCAGGAAAGCTATAAGTACGACACAATGTATTTTTGGACGACAGGGCCATGTTGCTATGCCAGAAGGTTAGCCGTCCGTGTTAGGCCACTGAGGCCTGTAGATAAGCTCACCCAGCCAGTCCTCCGAAGATGTCCTTGACATAGGAGTAATCACCTCCAGACTTAGGGATGGTGACACCTAGCTCAGCATAGCAGAGGGCTCCCACAGCCGTGATGACACCAGTCACAATCCAGACGATGAGAGCAAGGCCCACAGAGCCGGCATTCTCCAGCACACCCTTCGGCGAGACAAAGATTCCAGAGCCAATGATGTTCCCTGCACAGGCACAAAGACAGACACAGCCAGGTCAGGTCAGTCGGCGTTTGCAGGGACACTGCATCTCTGGGCTGGCTCCTGAGCGCCTTCCAGAGGGTGGGTGCATCCAGCTATGATGCTCGCTAGGGTTTCTTCTCCGATCTGGTTCTAAAATGTTCCCAGGGCCTCCAGGCAGGTGTGTCCAGTAACAATTCTTCCTGGAGTAGGGCAAAGGGCAGAGAACTGATGAGGAACTCACAAGGTTCGTGACTCCTTAGAAAAATCCTGTGGAGTCAGAAAACACTGCTCCCATTTTCAGTAGAAGCAAACAGTCTGAGGGGAGCTGGTGAACCCTGTGAGGCTGTGCCGTGGCGACGGCTGGAGCAAACGCTAAAGCTCAGGGCGCTCTGGGTAGGTACACAGGTTCAAGCTAAGGTGACAGGCTCTCAGAACTGGCTAAAAAGGTAGGAAGAGAAACATGCTCTGCCCAGAGACTCTCTGTCAAAGCTTCAAAAATGAGGCAAAGGACAAATTCTTTTGGACAGATTGTAGCCTCACACCATGACGATTTGTGGCTATGGGCTGGGTATAAACACATACTTGGAATCCCAACACTCAGAAAGCTGAGGCAGGAGGGTCAGGAACTCAGGGGTAACCTGGGCTATGTAAGTGAGACCCTGACTTAAGACAAAACAAAACATTTATGAGTGGACGCAACAGCCTTAGAAGCTGGTTTCTACTTGGACACAACAGCCCCACCCTTGTGGGAAAACATGAAACAAACCTATAAAACAGTCTTAGTTGTCTAGACGTGGCTTGTGAGAGAGTACAATACGTGCAAGGCCTCAGCTGTACAGTCCAGAGGCCTCCCTCCCTCTGCTCTCATATGACCCTCAGAATCACCTTGCAGAATTCCAGGAGGAGGGAGAAGGATGGGCTCTCTCTCTCTCCACTTTACTGACCAAGAGCTGAAGAGACTGTGGGGTTAAGTGGCTTTCTCTAAATTCCTCAGCTACTGATGGATAAAATTGGATCCTGAAAGCTGTCCCCTGGTATTTAATCTGGTGCTCTTTCTACTAATCCATGTCTGCATGCATAGGGCTTGGCGTCCTCTGAGAGAGGCCGGCAGCAAGCACAAAAAGGGGGCTCCTGGGTCATGCTCATTGGACAGAGCAGGAAGAGAGTAGGGACAGCCCCTGACACACAGGTTCCTAAGTTGGCTTCACTCATTTCTATGCTGAAGATGAAGATGAGGTCCACACGCACTTTGAAAGCTCTCTCCTCATGCTCTTCCCAGCTCACTACTCAGAGCCTGAGGGAAGAAGAAGAGACTAGTCAGATCTAGGTGAGAAGGCAGAACTGGAGAGCTTGCCTCAGCCCAGGGCTTGACAATGTCCCAGAATCCACCTTTCTTTGGTGGTTTGGAACCAGTGAGGTAAAGTGTTGAGCTGGAGAGCTGGCTCGGTGGTTAAGAGCAAGAGCACTTACTGCTCTTGAAAAGACTGTGGTTCAATTCCCAGCACCCACATGGAGCTTGCAACCGTAACTCCAGTACTGGGGCTCCAAAGCCCTCTTCCAATCTTTGAGGGAACAGGGCATGTATGTGGCAGACATACATATGTGGACGCGAAACATTAATACACATAAAATAACAAAAGGAATCTTAAAAAATACATTTTCAACGTGTGAAGTTTTATGTTCTGCTTCCCAAATCCAGCCAGAACCCAGCCTCAATTCAGTTCTAAAACATGCAGTTCCAAGCCAAAATGCAACTCCCCCCCCCCCTTTTGAGATGAGGTTGAGCAATGAGTTAGTTGCTAGCCTGGAACTTGATGTATACACTAGTAGCCTAGGCTTTCCCTAAACTTCCATTAACCCAACTGTCTCTGCTTTCTGAATGTTAGGATCACACAAAGACACACAACACTATCTGGCCCCAAAATCCAATTTGCAATCCAGTTATGAAATAAAGGGGAAGAAAAGAACATTCGCACTGTAATCCTCTATTCCTCTCAGATGTAAAAATCTGCCATTTTTATATTTTTACAGCTCCTCAACATTAAATTCAAATGTAAATATCAGGACAAGAAGAGGCAGACAAGAGGGGTCGGCTCTTATGGACAGTTCTTTCTTCTCTTCCTTATGTGAAGCCCTTCAATAGAACAAGAAGACATCTTTTCCCACACACATTCTCTATGACCTCCTCTCTTAAGGAGACTAAAAGATGGTCACCCAGTGTTCCAGCCCCCGGGACATGGTCACCCTGTCAAAGGATTCTTCAAGCCGGGCAGGGTGGCTCACATTTAGAATCCCAGTGCTCAGTAGGCCCAGGCAGGAGAATTGCCTTGAGTCTGAGACCAGTTCTCGGTTTGAACTACAGTGTTGACGCTGTCTCAAAACAAAACAAACTAAACAAAACCACCTGCCAAAACTAAATGTGCTGCTGTTCCCAGGAAGACAGGAAGCTCCAGGAAAGGAGAGTTTTGGAAAGAAGACAGTAAATTCCTTGCCTCTCTGGGAATTATCAAAAGAGTGATCTAAAGGGCACTTCACAGCCATCCAAGAAGAGAGAAATTGCACATGGCCTAGCAAGGCAGCTTTAGGGTTAGAAAAATAGTCAATACCAGGAGAAAAACAATGGTTGACTTTGGTCTTAAGGTAGTGAAAATGGAAGGGGAAATGTCCAGGCATTCCTTAAAGATGGGAATGGCAGCTTCACCGGGAAGGCAGATTGTCCCGTCAAAAGCTCTGCGCCTTAGGAATGAAGAGTCCAAGTTCCACTAAGGAAAATTTCTAGCCATAAGGAGCAACCAGGACCATGAGTACTTCTGCCACCTCTAGGCCATTCAGAGTGCACACATCAATCCCAGGGTCCCCTGGAAGAGGAGGTATACAGCGTTAGCTGATCTTTGAGGAGTCTGTGGCCCAATTATTTCCTGGAGGAAACAAGGGAGTTCTTACTATCCCCATTTTGCCATCACCGCTGACTTAGAAGTATCTGGATTAGAGGCTGCACCTTATACAGAGGGGGTAGGCAGATTCAACTTCCTCCTGTTGGTCCAGTCCTATCTGCAAGTGGTGACATGAGCATGCATGCTAAGTACCTCGACTCTCAGAACGGCTTTCTTAAATAATGCTAATGTCTGGTCTCCCCCAGGAAAACTGAGGCTCAGAGAGAGAAAGACTTTGTCAAAGTCACATGCTGTGTAAACAATTCGGTCTGGTGGAGAGGCCGAGTCATCAGACTGCAGGCCCAGGGTGTCCTCTAGACCCCACATTGCTTCTCCTCCGGCAACAGCACCGCACACAGTGCAGCCCTGGCGCCTTTAACTTGTGTGTTGTCCAAAGTTAACTTCTTTGGGGACTTTTTTCCCCCCTTGTTTTATTGTTAACTCCATTCCTAATGCTGCAACCCTTTAATACAGTTCCCCATGTTCTGGTGACCCCTAACCATAAAATTATTTTCGTTGCTACTTCACAACTGTAATTTTGCTATTATGCAAAATTATCTATTATCTGTGCTTTCTGATGGTCTTGGGTGACCCCTGTGAAAGGGTCTCCCCCCCCCCCCCCCCCCCCCCACGGCATAACAATCCACAGCTTGAGAACTGCTGGTCTAGAAGGTCATTTAAGAATGTGATAAACGCTGGGCCTGCTGGCCCACACCTTTAAGCTTAGCACTGAAGAAGCAGGGGCAGGTGGCTCTCTGAGTTCAAGGCCTAGAAAGCGAGTTCTAGGACAGCCATTCTACAGGGAGAAACCCTGGAAACCCTGTCTCCAAAAAAACAAAACAACAAACAAAAAGAATGTGATGCCTACCTTGCCTGGTGGTTCCAAGGGGCCTGAGGTCAAGGTCTTAACCTGTTTCCGCCCACACTGGTTAACACAGCAATCATCATTAGATCTTTAGTGAAAGCTGAATTTTAGGATGCCTGGACAATGAGGCATAGCTTAACTTGTTCTGTCAAAGAAAAGCCATGCAAACTGCTTCATTAAAAAAGAGGCCAAGTTGTATCAGTGGGTAAGCCTTCATAGGGAAACTGCCAGAACTGAGAAAATCCTCATTTGCTGTGAATAATCACTAACTTCCTCATCCGTGTGCCAACACCCATGTGACCCCCTATTATGGCATTACTCACACTCAGGCTTGTTCACACTAGAATGCTGTAGCCCTCAGAGAATTTCCTAAGGAGAGAAATTACAGGCCTGTAGTGCCCAGCAGACTTCGATCCAAAAGCCCTTGGCTTTCCTTACCCATGCTAAGTCCAGCCACAGCTTCCTGCTGGGCGTCAGGGCTGAGGTCATTGTGAGGATGTGCAGAAAAAGCTGAAGTCAGTGTGATTTGTACTTCTCCAGTGGGTGGGTAGGAGGATACCGATGCTTTCAGACCTGGGGAATGGTGAGGGGGCAGGAGCTTGGGGGTCAGGCTTTGACCCTCACACCCAAACAGTGAGCTCCCTAGGCACCTTCGTCTGCACACACTCTCCCATTAGGGCAGTACAGAGAGCTTCTCTGGGGGTGGGGGCAGGCCAAGATGCTGACACGTGCCCTGTCAGAGTAGAGATGCAGGTGGAACCGCGTGACTCCACTGTTCTGGATCCCTTACTACCATGGACACTAGCCTCAGAAGAGCCAGGGTCCTTACTGCTCATAAGCCACGGAACTCCAGTTTTCCTGAGACTCATTTCCTTTATGTTCACAGTGGGAGTAATGGCTCTTGCCACACCTACTTTGCTATGGGGATCAAGGCAGCTTACACCTATGTAAGACTATAATCCATGAAATGCTAAAATAAAAAAATTTAATTACTAGCATTTGTAGCAGTAAAGGCAGAGCCCAGCCAGAGATGAACACAGCAGATTGGCTTTGGAGGCTTGGCTACCAAACAGCACTGTACAGCCAAGACCATGAAGCATCCTCTGATTCATTTGTCTGCTTGTCTAGGTATAATTTTGAGATGCTGCAGGGGGACGGGCATCAGGTAATTGCATCTCAAGAAGTATTTATTGATCGCCCACTCT